TTCTGTGAAGCATATAATTTATCATATATAAATAGCCTCAATCAGATAGCCACTCAAAAATAATAAGCTTCCAGCAGCTTTTCCATCCAGTTATCTTCAGTTTCCTCCCCTCTTCAGGTTTTTTCTATTGCTGCATTTACAGACAAGCTGTGTTTTCTTAACACAGCCTTAAATTCACAGCTCAGAAGGTGGAAAAACCCCACCTCCTCATAGATCTTAAAGACTTCTATCCTGTTTGCTAGCCTGCACCACTTTTTTCTCTTGAGCTTTTGTTTAGGTCAGTCCTGCAAGTTAATTGTCATTTGGCAGCTAACTGTCCATCAGCCCAGATCAAAGGCAGGGAGTATATATACACTACCTAATGCAAAATATCTGAACAAACACCCCCTCCTTCCAAAAGGACAAAACAGTCAAGTAACAAAGAAAAAATATTCTCTTACTGGCAAAAAATAAGGTTTTGCTTTTTCTTCATTCAGCACCAGTTTCCTACAAAGTTTCCTGTGTACCTCTCTATTTTCTGGCCTTCACTGAGCATAAAAAGTCCCACCAATTTTTACCAGGCCACTCGTGGCTTCCAGATCTTACGTGTCAGCAATTAAAATAAATTAAAATACTCATTCTTATGAAGCACAATTCCATTAAATTATAGAATCATGGATTCATATCTCCATCAATAAAATCCATAGGAAATCCTTTCAGCCTACATTAAAACACTCTTACTTTGCAAATGTCCTTCTTTCCTAATGTCTGACCATCAATAAAATCCATAGGAAATCCTTTCAGTCTACATTAAAACACTCTTACTTTGCAGATGTCCTTCCTTCCTAATGTCTGGAAGAAGAGCTAGAACTGTTGACTATTTCCACAATTACCTTCCTGCACATTGAGCTCTGTAGAAGAGCTAGAACTGTTGACTATTTCCACAACTACCTTCCTGCACTTTGAGCTCTGCGTTAGTGTAGGATTAAACTTCAAGTACCACCATATCACGCATCATGTGGTCATCACCACAGTTAAAGTGTGTCTGGAGATTGTCATCAAATAGATGCATAGAACTATCACTCAAGTCAGTCTTAGAAAAGATTTCCATAGCATAGTGACAAATAACCTATCACCATAATTACAAGATAATCCTGCATCCCACTGTTTTGTACTTCATTTGACTTGATGTGGACAAATAAACCAGAAAAGTAACATATGGGGAGAGACTAAAAATTGAATATCTTATCCCTGTGCTATATCAGCAAGAGCTAAACAAAACACATCAATAACAGACCACACTTGTAGCCTGGGCCATCTGGTCACGAAGGCCCCTATTACCAAGACTGTATTAAAATATTTTAATTTTACTATTTTCCCTCAGGAATGAAGGATAATATGCAAAAGCTTAAATTCTGCTAAAAGGTGAGATTCCTCTACCTACCAGCACAGCACACCTATGATAGTTATTTAATTAAGAGATACTCTAATGAACAGTGTGCAAATGGCAAGGCAATAATCTCATTCCTAAGTGGGTATGCTGGAAGGCCAGTAAAAGCACAGAGAACAGCCCCTACACATGTATTTCCTTGTTAAGCTAAATACTAATTTGAATTTTTGTAATTAAAACAATTTTTTTCACTTTTCAGTGCAGTACCTCCTTCCTGATTTATATTACCAAATTTTAATGAATAAAGTTCTCTAAAATCCCCATTTTTTAATTTCTGCTATTGTTTCCTAATTGTGAAATAAAATGTAATTAATTATTCTCCTACTGCTCTCCTATTTTTGCACATCTGCCCTGCTCCAAACTAAGTGCTAATAAGCAGCTCAACTGTTGGTGGCTGCTGCAATCACTTCCAAACAACCTTGTGCATTTCCAGGCAACGTAGCATGGGTTGGAAAGCAAGAGGCAGTCAGAACAGATGAATAAACTACATTGGTAATTTGCTAAAGCAGATGGAAAAAAGGGAAAATAAAACACTCAGGGTGCAACTGGAAATCTAACTTTTATGTGGACATACCAACTGGATCACATGATTGTATCAAACAGAACTAGTCATATCTGAAATTATCACTATCTTATTTTTAATCCAATCAGGAGAGCTTCACATTCCCAATGAGCAGAAAATACAGTAAGAAAGATGACAGCAAAACAAAAGGTGGAATTATTTTTCACATAGGAAAATGTGTGGTTATTACACACACACATATATACATATTATCGTATTGGAATGCCTTGTTCCTAAATGTTTTTATTATATTTTATTCAGACATAGCAATAAACATAGTAAACTGCCCCACTGTGGAATCTCAGAGATTTGACTGGGAATGCCCATTACAGAGGAGCTCAGAAGGACACTGCTCACAGGGTTGGGCAGACAAGGATGAGTCCTTGTGAGCCCCTGCCGTATGAGACAAACTCTGCTGTTCCCATCACAGCCAACCTACATGAGTCCTCAGCCCTGATTGCTGGCAGTTACATGACAAAACTTTGGTCCAGAATCTGCTTTCCTTTCTTGTTCCTTCTCAATTTTAAAATTCTATTATAACATGCAAATTAACCATTCTCTGTATGTTTTCTTTCTTCCCCAAAACACTATAGAAACCACAGCTACAAAATACATCTGCAATGTCCCTTCACAGTGATTACAACAGACCACAGACAGCAAAGTTTAAGTTCAAAAGAAATTCATACACATTCGCAGCTGTAATTCCTCAGTCCATGTAGTGCACTGTTGAGGCATCTTAAGATAAGCCCCAAAATAATGTGGAAGAGGAAATAAATAGGTTTCTCATGCCTCACAGAAGTGTGCAGCTAAATGAATTTTTGCAAATTCATGAAGCTATGTACAGGTCACAATAAACATCTAAAGTTAAATGAGACAGATGATTAACTTTTTCTACAGTTTGCGCAGGGGCTGAAACAAGTACATGAATTGAGTGTCTAAGGCTCTCTAGATTAGCACAGACTATTTCTGAAGACTTCATGGCCTATCTTATGAAGATCTGTGACATGTCAAAATGACCTAAAAGCATTGCTTTTGTTTTCAGCATGGACTCTGATTGAATTTTTTATTTAGGGAACAATAGACTCTCTCCCCTACCATCAGCATGTCTGAGGATCCGAAACTTTTTATTTATGCTTTGTTAAGCATTCCATTGCAAATTACTGCAGTTGACCTAGAATATTTCATTCCATTATTTTAAATCTCTAAAATTTTTATCTCAGTTGACACATATACACTCTATGCTGCTACTTGCAATAGACTGTAGCCAAAATACTCATGTCTAGATACCTAAATTAGAAATATACCGTGTGAAAAAAATTATATTCAAAGACTTTTAAAACCAATGACAGCTCAACGTATTTCAAGGTGCTGATCATTTGCAGTTCCTATAATTTAAACATTAGTTGAGGATAGGTATCTCAAGGCCTTTGAAAAACAGACTGCCAGATGCTTTTGTACTTCTGTGTTTATACATCATCTAAGGCACTTGTGATCCCTGACTAGCATTTCAGGAACGATAACAAATCAAGATGACAAGATGCTAGGAAAACGTTTAAGTACAAATAGGACCTGATTCATCTCATTCTGCGTAAGGAACCTCAGTTACCAGGACTAGCATTCTAAACTCCCAATAAAAATACCTAATGAAGGCACTTCTAGAGAGAAACTCAGACTACCTCAGAACTAAAAATTCAGTGTACACAAGCAGTAGGAGTGGAAAGGGGCAGGGAGAAATAAATCAATAACAAAAAAAAAAGGACTACAGATCTGTGTATAAGTAACCTTTTTAATTCTCTGCTTTAAAATTGCACAACAGAAGTCTTAAAAATTAACTATTTATCACTAACACTAACCAACAATATTTACTTTAGTTATTGAATATTAATTCTCAAATACTGAAATGCAAAAAGTTCAGAAATAGCTTTAGCAAGTTTAGGACACATTAAAAAGTACTTTAGAAAGATAGAAAAACTTAGGGAAATTTATGAGATCAGTATAAATTATTGATGAGGAAAGGGGAGAAAATTAAATTTTCATAGATTATTCTTTGTTTTTACTGATTGGAAAACAACCTTTCCTAATTATTAAAGTAACTGATTAGGTGCCAGTTGGCTAAATTGCACATCGATCGTAGAGTAAAATTCTGCCCTCGAGCTGTGCATTTAGCTCTAGCAATCATATTGGTGGGAATTAGGACTAGACTTCACAGCTGTATAAGCCACCATGTCATTAACACACCTAAAGTCAGCGCGATGCATGAGTCCCTGTTTCAAAACTGTCAATATGCAAAACATATTCATGTATTTACACCTTCTGATGCCTAAATGATCATTTGAACAATTATGGGTATTTTAGTTTTAATGATTTTGTATACACAAGCTGTATATCTGAATTTCTGGAAAACTGGCTCTTAGAACTTTTATCTGTCTGGTTGCCTGCAGATCCAAGAAAAACTTTCTGCTTTGTCAGACCTTTGCAAACAACAAAAAATAAAACTGAAAACACACGCAAAGACTTATTTTGTCTTTGGACACTAGAAATTAACTAAGGAATGAACAGAAGGTGTTTTTACATTGAATTCCTTATGAATTCCTTCTAGGTCTTCAGAACAGATTCTATTCTTAAACATTCTACGATTCTATAATAGTAACAAGATAATCTATACTATGCAATAGAATATTCTTCATAACATTCCTGGACTAGATTTCAGCCCCAGTCTAACACACAAGTTGGCAGTAACCTCTATTGAAAATAGCAACTGCATGAAAACGTATGTGTTTGATTAAGGCCTTTTATACCAGAATGTATGTTATTTAAGTCTGCCATGAATACAAAGCCATTTTCATCTGTCTACCCAATATAGACAGAAAAACAACCTTCTCTCTTCAGTTTTATGTTTCTTAATTTTTTGTGGGATATTACTACCAACATGATAGGCATTACAAAATTTTAAGAGAAATATTTCTATTACTTAATATCAAAAATTGATCCAGTTCTTTGTTGACTTACCTTGCCAACAGATCTAGGGAACGGTGGTCTCTGATTTTCAGGAATTAATATCGGAGTTGCCAAAATAGCCCTTTTTTGTCTTGGAATTCCAAGGTTGCCTTCTATTTTAAAGATTTCCTAAAAAAGAAAAAGACCAATTACAAAGAATTTCAAAATAATATTCAGTTATTTCCATTCCCTGCATCTTTAGGCAAAATTAACATGAACTACTGGATTCTAGGTTTTGTATTGTATGTTTTCCAGCAATTATTGATAAGATATCAAACTATTTAAATCTGTCAGGTTACTGCACTTATTACAGTGATAGCAGACAGGCCGTATTCATTTTGTATTCCTGTAGACTAGCTTTAAACCTAAGCAAGTGTGTCTACCATCCTAACCTGACGACTGCTTAAATCATACATCTTAAACAAGGTCTGGCTTACCTCAAATACTTGCATGACACCTGTAAAAAGCCACACTTTAAATGTCTTACATAATTTTCACATCTCAAGTCACATCTATACTCAGTCAAGTCTCAGTCCAGGCTTTTAATCAAACAGAACTTACAGGTGAATTTGCTGAGACTGTCCCCAGCTAATGAAGTCAATAAACACCAAAAGCTTGTAAATAAAAAATAAAAATAGACAGCAAAACCCAGGTGTAAGAATATCAGCTAGTAGAGGTTTTGTGTCGGGATTTTTTTGCACTGAGTGTTGGGTTGTGGGTTTGGGGTTTTTTTTCTCTTAGAGAAAACTTCATGCTACTATATTAGAAAGAACAAAAGTAGAAGTGGTTTATACACAAGCCTTCCTTTAAACCTGCTGCATTTTCTAGAGTATTTAGTTCCAGCTGAGCTTCAGGCTATTCAGCACTTTGAGCTACAGCAAGGTCTTCAGTGTGACCTCTGGCCCCTAAAAAACTCTGTCCGTCACACCTTTGCCTTCCCTTCTGCTCTCTGATGCTCTCGCTGCTCTCTCTGCATGAGCTGCAGTTTCCCAGAGACCACCCTCTCCTTTTGTTTCCTCCTACAGTCTCTGCAACTCTCCTCTCCAAGCACAGTTACTACCAAGGTCAAAAACAGCCTCTCTCCATCTCCCAAAGCTCTCCCCTTGGATCCAGCCCCCTTTTTGGAAAGGGAAAAAAACCCCCAAAAAACCCAAAAACCACTAAGAAAATAAACCCCACCCACAAACAAACAACAAAACAAACCCAACGCACACACAAATTTGTACTGTGATGGGAATTGTGAAACTGAAAAAGATTTAGATCGCTACTATTCATTCAGGTTGTCATGACAGTTTTACTAAAGAAGTCATAGGTTGAATTAAATGTCTAATTCCGATATGGTAGTTATCATCCTACAGATAACACTTTTCTCTGCTCTCTTAATGCAGAAACTCCAGAAAATTAAGTTTCTCAGTCAGTTCTGGAATCCATGTTGTTGTTTTAATAGCCACTGTTTTATTACCTCAGGAGAGCTCCATCCCTAGGCTGTGTTTTTATAAAACTGCAAAGCTGAATGAGTTTTCTTGGTGGCATGGTCTGGACATCCATCAGTCAAGAACTCCACAGGCTGCTTCTGCTGCCATCTGTATAGATGCCTCCCATCTAATGAATCCATCATCACCAAAACACTGCTCTACCTCTATTAGTTTTAGCATCACTTTTCAAATTTGACAACAAACAGTAGCAAGGGAAACACAAGTCTTCAACAGTCAGCTTTAGACATGATAAAGTCAAAGAGCAGTGGGAACTATGCAGAGAATCCCTTCTCACAATTTTGCCAATTTTCATGACTATTTGAGCCTCATCCTGATACAGAGTTCCCATCTCTCCCAAAGGGTTTGCCACTCCTCTCTGATCTTTCAGTCTGCAGGCCACTTGGGTCCCTATTTTTGTCTTTCAATTCCTCTCCCAAAAGAATTTTCCCTAATAAAAATTCATGAGAAAGTTCAAGATAAAAAACACTTGAAGTGTCAAATAAAAAGGAAAGAGCTGAATTCTATCCAAAGGCAAATGCACAGAGCAGCAAGCTTTCAAAATCACTTACACTGTAAACACAGCAGACAGTTTGGCTGGCATGTGTCTGTGACATTTCTAAGGAAAGTAGAAAGGAAACATCAATTCTTCAGCTCAGCAGCAGTGCTCAACTGATCACGATGTTCACTTGTGCTAACTCCTGCCTTCATGGTTGCTCTTCAGCTCATGGAAGTGTAAGAAAGACTTCCTGGATGCATGCTCTTTGCAAATGAGGAAGACATTTATGCACACTTGTATCTCTTTGTATCATACAATGGTCATCTACTCCAACCCTCCTGCAATAAGCAGCGACAAATTCAACTAGATCAGGTTGCTCAGAGCCCTGTTTCATATTTTTTTCTATGCTAGTTTGAGGAGTAAAAGGAATTTTCAGATTGTTCAATGTTTAGATCTCCCAATTTGGGTAGTCATAGACCCATAAGCAATTGGCTCATCACTTCCTCATGACAAGTTATCCTTACACTTTCCCAGAATGTCCACAAATGGAGAAAAAAGCCAAATTATATCCAATGAGTCAACACTACAGTCATTAACACAAAGAAACTATATTCTAAAGGAAAGCAGAAGGGTGGGAGGACTTAAGGCCTTCAAGTCCAGATTTCCAAGCAGTACTTTGGAATAAAAAAGGAAAAATAGTATTATTTGTTTGTTTTTAAGCACTATTAATCTGTTGCACGGAGAAGAAAGCTTCAGCAGATTGCGCGCTGAAATGTAAGCACTTCTCTGAGTATGTTTCACACTGTATATTCTTCAAATCTCACTGCTGCTTTTTAAATACTGATTTCTTCATGATGATTTTTCTCTTTCTCATCATCCCCTGGTGTCTAACAGCAACATGACTGATTAAATGAGTAGCCAAAAGCATCACTATGGAATGCAGGTAAATAGAAAGGAAGAAAAGGTCAAGAGTACTTCAACACATTTAAAAATTCAGTGCTGTTTGTGGTTATCATAATGATTTCCCCATTTGCAAAGAACAGGGAAAAAGAAAGAACATTTTGCTTAATACCAAGCAGCTGCACCTGACAGTTTGATGCTCAACCAGCATATAAGACAGAAGCCAATAAATTTGAAATTACATGTGTACTTAGCACCTGATTCAACAGTTAAAACACTGAAAAGATTCTCATTCATGAGTGGATATACTGCATATGTAATATTTTTTTAATGAATCCACCTATTTGATTTCCTGAAGAACCAACTCACAAGAGAGATGAAATTACTCCAGATACAATTGGCATTTTTGCTTCAAATTTTCTTACAATATCAGGCTGGCATTACAACAGGAGTCGTCTTTTGCCCCTTGACACAAGTTAAACCTGCAAAGGAGTTTTCCTGTCATCTTTGCTGGAACCAGCTGAACAAAGACTATGGTACCTACCACATCTTTGTAGCAGCTGTGACTCCAGACAAGTATTTATGTGCCAGGAGTCCGGAGCTGACAGTCGAGAGCCTAGAATGACATGTCCCAGATAGGTGATGTTCAACCAGCACCCAGAGAGCTAAAGGCTACGATTACCACCTCCTTCTCCCATGCCTGCTGCTTTGTACAACAAACAGAAACCTAAGGTGTGTGTCCAGAAACATCCACCCACAAGTAAAATTAATAAAACCCAAAACAACAAAAACCCCCAACCAAACAAAAAACCGCAAACAAAAAACCCCAATAAATATACGCTTTCCTATGAAAAGTGCACCAAACATAAAAGTTCTAGTTTTCTGATTGAAATTTTTTTAAACCAAAATAGTAGGAGAGAAATCCTACCAGGTTCTTTATTTTTTACTATTTTACTGCAAAATCACATTTGTGATCTATCTTTCAACTGCTATTTTCATAGACAGTAGATTAATCAGAATCCAGCTATCATTTCACTATCCACCATTTCATAACCAGCTTTTACACCCTATTTTTTACTTCATTAAATTCCCTTTCCAGACGTGGAATTGGTACAGCAACAGTTCAGCACCCAATATGTTGATTCACTTGCAACAAAGCTTGGTTCCCTATTCATGTTAAGCAAGCAACAAACACAGCCTCCTCATTTTTCCAGCATTTAGGTTAGGCTTTTATTGAAAGATGCCAGTCTGCCCAAACCATGATGCTACGCAAGTTGCAATTTGCCTGGATCCCTTGAGAAGTCTCCACTCTGTTTTGGTTTTCTTTCTTCTTACCAGGGGTTCTTGGGGGCGTTGCAGTACTTGAATACTTGAGCGAATGGCCTAATCGCTATCCAGTAGCAGGCAAAGAAAATTTCATTAGAACTTGCCATGGGAATAAGGTGGCTGAATACAGATACCAATTTGTCACAATAAGGGTTGGAAACATCCCTGGAGCAGCAACCTGTAATCCCCTATGGTGACCAGAAAAGCAGTTGAGTTTCTTGTCATTTAGTTGTTTATATATGCTAAGCTTGATGGTATAAAGTGGAGTCAGTCCCAAATAAATAAACAAAATTAATTGGATGCTTGTTGCAAGCAAAATTCCTTTAAAATAGCAAATGGGGTGTGGTATTCAGTGGTATATCAGTCTTCCTACAAAATAACATCACTACATAAGACTGAAATACTAAAACTACGTGCAGATCAACTTGACGCAAAAATTTTTATATAATTCTCAGTTGAAATTTCACCAGTGTAATACTTAGTTGTTTTATGTTATTTGCATCATCAGAACATTGTTATTAGCAGGATTAATAATTTCTAAAATCATGTGCCAAAACAGAAAAAAATTTTCTCATGTTGTTAATAATATGAAAATCTAAGAAATGTGCTGAAACTTTACCTGTAAGTTAAAAAACTACTGTTTATACAAATCATTAATTCAATGAATAAATTTAAGAATTGTAAAGGTCAAGAGCATATACACAAACATCTGCTCAAAAGTAATCTGTCCTCAATGCCTGTAAATGTCACCCTAGAAATCACATTGCATACTTTAGCAGAAGAAATCCAGCTAAAATCTAGCATGCTAAGGAGAATCATGTATGTCAGAGCACACAAGCTTCCAGGCTTGTAAAGAATGGTCAGATATAACATCTGGGTGATGGAAATTGCTGGTGGAGCTTGATTTAATTACACTGGGTGTTTCTACCATT